GGCGGGGGGATCTCCCGCAGCGTCTTTTCCAGTTGCTTGCGCAGGGCGAGCTTGGCAGCGGCCTGGGAATTGGCGGCGTCGTTCAGCGCGCCGGGGCTGGGGAGCGGGGAGGACACCCTGTTCACAGCCCCGGGCTGGATGTGGGAGGCGAGGTTCATGTAGATGGCTGAGGAGGTCGAGCGCTGGCAGGGAACAGAGCTTGACTGTGGGAGAGGGAGGAGAGAGGTAGTGAGGGCAAGCCGAGGGCAGAGCACTCTGGCAGGGCCTGGGACCTCGCCGAGCCACCACAAAGAGGTGGCCAGGAGGGACCTGGGTCCCAGCTCTACCATCAGTTCAGCAGCCTCCCCACAAGTGCCCCAGGAACCATCTCTGGAGCGTCCTGCTGCGTCAACCCCTCGTCTGCAGCATCCAACGACCCAACGGACCCTCCCGCCAGCTCCGAGAGCCTGGCTGCATGAACACAGCCCACCTGCATCCCCCCGCCCCCCGGCGCAGGCAGCACCATGTGCTGGGCTCCTCCCCCTTTGGCCTCACTGATCAAGGACTAGAGAAAATGCCCAAGTTTCTCAGTGAAGAGCTCAAATTGTCAGGCTTACGAAAGCTCAAGTGAGGCCTTGCCACGTCTCCAGAGTCCTGGGGAGCGCACACGGGGTGCCAAAGCACTCTTTACTTAGCAGAGATGGGCAGAACAAGCAGCAGTGACCGGCAGCTGAAAGGAGGCCTCGAGGAAACGCACAGCCTCGGGGCTGGGCGACTAGTCGCTGGAACCAACGTATGGGAAGTGGCGTGTGCTCCGCTGCCCGGGGTCTCCAGGCGCCGAGTGGTGCCCCTCTGCGACACACGAGCCAACCCAGAGCACTCAATCCAGGAGCAACGGGACAAAGGCAAATAGACAAGGGATCAAACCAGATCTGGCGGCCTGCTCTGGCCTTGGACACGCCATGCAACGCGGCTTCCCCACCCTGCCTAGGGCTGCTGCTGGCTTACTACCGTCTCTTCTCAGCAGCCTCACCACCCTGGCCTTTTGACACTGGCCTCAGTTTCAGCCAGCCTGTGACTTGGCCGGCGCACGTCACCCTGGCATCTGGGCGACAGGAAGCAAGGGCGCTGTGCTAGACCACTCCCCATGACGGCCGCGAGCACCGGGTTTCTCCGCCTGCTGAGATGCAGCTGGCACCCACGGCCTTTTGGCTTGATCTTCAGATCGCATCAAAGCCTCGTGTGAGCGCACCGATTCCAGCCAGGCTTCGGACAGGCCCACGTGGCGCGCTCACCCACACGCCAGCCCACAGGGCTCCTGGTGAAGTTCCCTCAAGGTGGGTGCACGCCAGGCTGGACACGAAGCTGGTACTCGGAAGCGTCCAGTGGTCGGTGACTGGTTGAGCCCGTCGTCCACCCCCCATCCATGTGTTCCAAGGCTCCCTGTACTCACACGGCAAGGGCGCATTTAGAGGGGTCTTGGGTCCCTTGCAGCCGGATGTGTCTACAAGAGGCTGTCCCCTCTTCAGGCACTCAGCCGTAGCGGCCTGACTTCCGGACGCTGCCCCAGGACGAAAGATGGCTGTAAGATTCATGCCCTCACACTGCCAGGGATATTCAGAGATCTTCCGGCTCCTCCCTTCCTCTGGGCAAGGCAGGGGAAATGCGCAGGCTGCCCGGCACCCACTGGATTTGCCACATGCGCTTTACACCTTGGAGGGGTGATGATGGTAGCTTGATGTTACCGACGAGACAAAATGGCCCCAAAGTGCTGAGCTCCACAACCTCCACCCTCCATGTGTCTCAGGGTTAGACTTCATCTGCTCTGGACCCCGCTTGTTGGATCCAACCTTTGATAGCCGGCAGTCAGTTTCCAAGTGGAAGAGAACCCCTCCCCCCCCAAAAGCCATTCGTTTTAAGGACCAGATCTGAGGCACTGTCCCAGGGTGAGATGTCAGGGCAGGAAGACTTGGAACCACCTGATGCGCTGAAGAGCTGTAAGTCACCAGGACCAGCTGGGATCACCCAGGAGCGCTGCAGGAAGTCCAGTGAAGCTGCCCAACAACCCATCGCGGCGAGCAGCCTGTGTACCAGACTGGCGGCTCGCCCAGGTAATCACAGCTTCTAGCAAACGTTCCAGAGGTGACCCTGGCAATTACATGCCGAGGAACCTCACTTCAATCTACGCAACAGGCTGAACTGGCAAACAAGGACAAACAGAGGAATGATTTACTGGGGAGGAGTCAATGCAGAGCGTGTCCAGGGAAAGCAAGCCTCCAGCACCAATTCGAATTCTGTAAGGGCATCAAGAAACGTGGCCAAAGGGGAGATCCAGTGGAGAGCGGGTTCTTAGATTTTCAGAAAGCCTTTCACAAGGCCCCTCACTGAAGGCTCCTAAGCAAAGGAAGCCATCAGGAGATATTAAGGAAGGTCCTCTCCGGTATCAGTAACTAGTTAATAGGTAGGAAACAGACAGGAAGAGTAAGTGGTCAGTTTTCACAATGGAGAGGTAAATAGCACGGACCTTCAAGGGTCTGTCCTGGGACCAGTGCTGGCCCACATGTGCCAGGAGAAGGCCTTTTTCTGTAGCCATATGATAAGGCCTAAGGCCTTCGTCCGCAGCCAGACAAAGAGCAGCCGCCATGGGCTGAAAAGCAGGGAGTCCCATGGAATTAAGGCGGCAGCTCTGTTCCAATGGCACCAGATAAAGAAACCGATCTCAGGATAGCTGAAGCAAGCTTAGTTTGACAGCGTTTCATCTGGCAAGAAACCATTTCTCAATCACCGGGGTTGTGAAATCGTCGTTCCTTTATTCTAGCACCCTGGCTCCCACTTTCCCATTTGTTGGACAATCTCTGTCGGGTTTTAAATCCTTTCTGGCTGTCGGGATGGCTAATTTTGCTGGGTGCAAGCCGATTAAGGTGGTGGGGCAGGGCTGGTTAGGGAATTCCGTTACAGTACGGGAGGGTGGGGAGTAAAATGTTAGTACAATAACTGGTTACAGTCTAGCTCAGCAGGACTCAAGTGTCTCTGTAAACTGGGGCCCAAAAGGAAGTTCTTTGGGACCAGCTCCAGGACACAACTCCAGGGTGAGAGCTGCCAGAGCTCAGCCCTGTGCCAATAACTGTGCAGAAACGGGAGTGGCCAGACAGCTCTGATCCTGCCTGACCACTAGACTGGTAACTGTATGGCCACCCGCAGGACCCGAGCGCACGGGTGTGAATGCATATGCTGCTTTCCAAGTGTATTTTCAGTCAATGCGGGGTATTGTCTTTCCTGAGAAAGATTCCATCTGCTTCTTACACGCCTAACACATTCACAAGCGATCTGTGTTTACAAAGGGGTAAACAGTGAAGTGGCAAAGTTTACAGACAATCCAGGACACCGCAGGGAGCCCAAAGCTGACTGGGAAGGGTTACGAAAGGATCCTACAAAACAGGGCAACCAGGCAACAAAAAGCAGATGAAATTCCAGGTTGATAAAAGCAAAGTAATGCACAATGGAAAACCAACTGAACTACACACCCAAACCACTGGGGCCTACACTGGCTGTTATCACTCGAGGAGCTTGGAGTGACGGGATGGTTCAGAAAACATCTGGTCAGTGTGCAGTGGCAGTCACAAAAGCTAACCGTGTCAGAAGCCGTTGGGAAAGGGTTAGATCATAGGCCACCCACACTTTGAACAGTGCCTGCAGGTCTGGGCTCCCCGTCTCAGCAGGGGCACACTGGAATGGAGAAGATGCACAGAAAGCCAACCAAAATGATCACGGGGGATGGAAGAGCTTCCGGACCAGGAGATTTTAAATCCGGAAGTGTTCAGTTTAAGAAAGAGCCAACTAAGGGGCTTTGACAGAGGGCTGGCTACAGTTCATGGCAGGTATGGGCAAAGTCACTAGGACAGTGTTATCTGCCCCTTCCCAGAGCACAAGGGCCAGGGGTCATCCACAGAAATCAATAGGCTGCAGGTTTAAAGCCAACAAAAAGTAACTCACATGATGCACCGGTAACCAGGGGAACTCATTGCCGGGGTTGTTATGAAGGCCAAAAGTTCAAAAAAGAATGCTAAGTCTATGGAGGATACACCCGCCAATGGCTATTAGCCAAGACAGTCAGAGACCCGACACACGGCGTCCTGCAGCCTCTGCCAGCTAGAAGCTGGGATGGACGACAGGATGGGTCACGCAATAATTGCCCTGAACTCTTCATTCCCTCTGAAACATCTGGCTCTTCCCCCTGCTGGGTGACGCTACTAGGCTAGATGGACTGCTGGTCTGACCCAGCCTGGCTCTTAAATTGCCCCTTCCACTTCTCATGCAGGCTAGGCCTTTACGCCTTTGTCCACCCTGCAGATGCATTTCCGCACCGCGGCTTCATGAGGCGCCTTCACCGTGAGCTCTGCTCTTCGCTGGGAGTCTGGAGTTATTCAAGTGCTCAAAAGCCCCTAGCCGGCATCTCCCCTCCCGGCGCCACTGCGCTGAATCCATTCTCGGCAGAACAAAGAGGAACTTACCGGCTGGTAGTTGATGGCTGGATTCATGCTTGGAGTTGTAGTGCGGATGAGGCCAGGTTTAGGAGGAACACGCTGTCCTTGTAACTGGGTGGGGTTTGGAGCAATCACACGCTGCGA